ATACCAATCATGTTCTATCTTTCCGCCTATGTGCTCCCCCTTGAAATTTCTCAGTGGCTCATTCTCTCCTTCCAATCTGCTTAAATGTTACCCCCTAAACAAGGCCTTGCCTGGCTCTCCTATCTAAAATTGTAAGATTATCCCTCACCCTTGTTACACAATCTACTTTTATTTTCTGTTTTCCCTTGCTAGAATGTGAGCTCGATGCGGGCAGGGATTTTTGTCCGTCTTGTTCACTGCTACATGCTCAGCATCTAGACAACTGTCTAGCAAATACTAGATGCTTATTGTTAAATGAAAAAATAGTTGCATAGGCATGAAAAAAAATGTAGATCAAATAAGTTTCCCCGCCCCCCCTTTGGTCTTCTTGTGAGTCTTCTTGGTTCTTCATGGGAGACCTTATTGTTAAATGAATAAATAACTGGCTGGTCACCCCAAAAAATGTGACTTACAAGACCAAACAAGGTTTACTGAGCAGTATAAGTGATTTCAAAAATCATTGACAAGGCATAGCATGATACAATAAAACAAAGCTAGATCAAATAAGCTTTGAGATTCTAGACAGGGATGCTGGGAAGCTAAGATAACATTAAACATCACAGCGTTTTTATGAATACTCCAAAACTCCAAGTTGCAATTATAAACTAGCTTTTCACGGTCTCAGTGATGAACTGAGAAATAGAGAGCAAGTCATGTTAAAATAGAGATTCAAGAATTATGGGAACAAATTTCCATCTTTAAAGGGATGCAATTTTTCCCAAATCAAAGACAGGAATGGAAACCCTAGAATTCCAAGAACATTATTGCGAAGTCTCTACTTTCCAGGCTATCACATGACATGCTCAACAGGAAACATGGATCAGCTTCTTCCTTTTGTGAGCCTTCCTGGGTTTTTGTTTGTTTGTTTTTGAGACGGAATCTTGCTCTGTCGCCCAGGTTGGAGTGCAGTGGCGCAATCTCGGCTCACTGCAACCTCTGCCTCCCAGGTTCAGGCAGTTATCCTGCCTCAGCCTCCCGAGTAGCAGAGACTATAGGTACGCACCACCACGCCCAGCTAATTTTTGGATTTCTAGTAAAGACAGGGTTTCACGACGTTGGCCAGGCTGGTCTTAAACTCCTGACCTCGTGATCCACCCGCCTCGGCCTCCCAAAGTGCTAAGATTACAGTCGTGAGCCTCCGCACCCAGCTACCTTCCTGGCTTTTTATGGGAGGCCTGGAAAATAATGTCAAGAATACGCAATACTTGGCACTAATTTAAAATCTTAAGAATTGCTTTTCTAGAAAGACAATTTCACCGAGAATGTTTCCTTCCAAACAAAGAAACAAAAATGGTAGCCAATAGTTACTGTTGATCTAAGTCATGGTTCTGAAGGTGTTCCAGTCAAAGAACAAGGTGCTGGACCATATTAAACACTGGGTTTTTAATGCCTTCCCCACTAAAGTTCGTTTTTTATAGCTAGGAGTAACAAGCAATTGCCAGCAAAGCTGGAATAGGAAAATCAAATATTCTGCCTATTTACATATGGTTCCCCGAAGCCATTCCTGATTAAAACTTGTACCATTTCAATCTTCCTACTGGAGATATCTATTAACTAGAACGGCATGTGAAAGCCAATGAATTTAGTATATAATTACACGTATCCTATACAAATTACTTCTCAATGACCTCTACTCATGAAAATAAACCAAAGAGGGATGACTGGCTCATTATAAATCTACAAGAAGATTTCCCTGGGAAAAGGTATTGAGAGCAGAGTCTTGAAAGATCTTAAGCTTCAATTGAATTTAATTTCAGCAGGAAGCAATCACTTCTGTATCTGAATTCCCAATGCATTTTACGTGAACCTCTCCAGTGGCAAGGAACACTTTCCAACTTAAATCCCTGCTCTTGTCACTAAGTAACAATGTGACCTTGGCCAAGCCACTTCCCTTCTCAGTGTTTTCATTTGTAAAATGAGAGGCTAGAATCAAGTGATTTCAAAAGTCTCTTTCAGATCTAATGTTTCATCATTTCATAATTACAATCAAAAGAGCCCCCCTAACCTCACCTATTACCTCTAAGTGAGAAAGCCATTGATTTACCTTTGGAGTTCCCATACTGTCTAGACAAACAAGTTCAAGGACACAGAAAAAAATACAATTCTCTGAAGTGTCCACTCTCTGTGGACCTCCTTAAGCCCTTCTCAACCTCAACCAAGGTTTTAAACCAAATGATTCTCTTCAAGTCCACCTTTACCATAGTTCTGGCATTCTGCCAAGGATTATAAGACCAGAAAATTAAACAGATATCACTTGTCACTTAGAAGACATGCACCCACCACAGAGTTTCAAGGCACATGCTTTGTACACCATCTGACCCAGAGCCACATGCTTTGGACACCATCTGACACATAGCCAGACACCTACAGAAAGTGTTTCATCGAATAAGATAATCTGATGCATTCCAATCATCTGAGAGTATGTGCGAGAAAGCTACAGCAGATGTGGGTGAGAAGTAAAACTGGAGAAAGGAAGACACCAAGACGTGCAAGAAAAAGCAAATGGAGCATACCCTTAACCTTTCCAGAGGTGGACATTTTAAAAACCCAAGTCCCTGGCCGGGTGCCATGGCTCACGCCTGTAATCCCAGCACTCTGGGAGACCGAGGCGCACAGATCACGAGGTCAGGAGTCCAAGACCAGCCTGGCTAGCATGGTGAAACCCCATCTCTACTAAAATTACAAAAAATTAGCTGGGCATAGTGGTGCGTGCCTGTCATCCCAGTTACTCGGGAGGCTGAGGCAGGAGAATCCATTGAACCAGGAGGTGGAGGTTGCAGTGAGCCAAGATTGTGCCACTACACTCTGGCCTGGGAGATAGAGCAAGCCTCTGTCTCAAAAAATTTAAAAAGTAAAAAAATAAAATAAAATCCCTGAGACAGCTACACTGCTGGGATAAGAAACACCTGCTCATAATGCACATAGCCTTAGGTGTTCAGATTCTGAAGTCTGGATATTTGTGCTCAAATCCTAACTCTGCTACTTACTTGCTGCATCACCATGAACAAGTTAATCAACCTTCTGTGACTCGGTTTCCTCATCTGTAAAATGAGGATAGCAATAGTACTTCATTACTATTTTGTTCTTTGAATTGTTGGGAAGATAAAATGAGTTAATGCATGTAAAATGCTTATAACAGCATGTGGCACATAGTAGGTGCTCAATAAATGAGCATTCCCAGTATTGCTATTATTATTAGATGGAGTTCTGAGAATTTCTGAGGTTAAGAGAACAAAGGAGTTTCTACACTGCTCTTACAGATTCAAAGTCTCTTTCCGGTGACAACTGCAAGTACCAACATTTCTATATTTATATGTAATTTATATTTGTATACTTTATCAGTCTTAACTACTCCTGAGCATAGAAACTATTCATTAGACATTTAAATTCCTTTCTGAAAGATATTCTAGGTTTCAAAAAGTACTTGATCACCCACGCGAAGGGAGTACAATAGGACCATTAAACTGGAGGGCGGAGAGTAATTGGGAGCACAAAGGCATCTTTGTAGAGCTTGGTACTATCACATGCCACTGCTTCAGGTTTGGAGAGTTGTCTCCTTAAGAAAGAAACTAACTCCATTGTTCGTTCACATCAGAGTTCTTGGAAGTGATAGTTCTTAAATCCCTGGCAAGTCCTTATTAAAGATCAGAGGATCTCAGTTCTTTCCATTAGGACAGCATTAAATCCCTTCAAGCGATTTTCTTAGGTCAGCATCATTATTTGAGATGCCAGAGAAAGTGGTGAAATTTCCAAACGCTAAACTTGTTCCTTGTTTCAGACCGAAGACACAAGGTAAAGTTAGAAAAAAATGAGTAGTTCTGGGGACATTTTTGAGACAGGGAAATTGTAAGAAATTTAAAGGGTACTTTAAAGATCTTTTTTTTCTTAAATCTCTTTTCCAAAACAGTCATTTTAGTAAACAAAAAACAAATAACGATAACAAACAAAAATCCAGTCAAATATCTAGAGTTGTCAGAAAATAATGAGCCTTGAAGGTTCCAGTCATTCCCTGATGGGATATCCAGAATTCTGGTTTTCCAAATATCTTTCAGTAAATCAGACAAGAGAGCTAATACTATGTCTTGTATCCCTTTGCCAAATAATCAGGCACAAAAGAAAGTCAACAGAGGTCATGCTCTCCTCGATCTGTTCAACTACCATTTTTGTAATTCTATTCTAAGGAACAATGAGGGCCATAAACACACAGAAACAATAATAGAAGAAGAGAAATTTGGGTGGGCTACTAAGAGGTAGGCTATGATCTCTGTTTCAAGGGGATTATATATCAGAAAATGCAAGAACAAGTCTACCACGGCCACCCAACAAGGTCTAAAACTGCAGAATTGGGTAGAGGGCTAGGGAGTTTCCTGAAAATGGAGGACTGTCTGCTTACAAAACCTACCTCAACTGCTTCTGGCAAGGAAGGACAGTAGTTACAAACTGTGTGAAGCCAAGAACAAGTCCATATTTGACAAATCACACCCATCAAGATAGTGATGTCAACCATAATAAAATATTTTGGCAAGTCTGGAAATGTGCACCTGTGGGAACCTGGAAAGATTTGACAGATTTTTGTTTTCCCAGCTCTTTATCAGCAAGTTAATTATAGCAACTGTACAATCTCTTCTGAGCTGTAGAGAAAGACAGTTGGCTGTATGAAACCAAGAGGCTGCTCTCCTGGGCACACGAGAGACAAATGACAGGAGTGCTTACGTGCGAAAATATTCTGAGTACAGTATAACGATGAGCCAGCTAGCATGGCTAGATGAGAAACAGGCATATTCTGCAGACATACAGGTGTGACAAGACTAAAAAGTACACATGATACACACACAAGCATGTGCATGTACACACATAAGCACACATGCAAACATGTTCCTGTATGTGTGTATCTCCAGAGCCTAAACAACTCGGGTCATATTATCACATACAGGGCTGCTTTTTCGCAGAGCAGACCGTACCTTCACAGCTATAACTGTACACTGCCACCGCTGACCTGTCCACCAGATTTTCATCATGATGCCAGCTCACTGCCATTTTCCCCATGCCAAAATAAGGTTCCTCTTTCAGGTATGGCATTTTCTGAGGATCCATGAAATTCAGCAAAGTTACGTTGTATGCCGCTCTGCTCTTAATGTCCACTTCATCTTGTCCATCATAGGATGACCCCATCCCAACCCTGGGGAAATCTGCAGACATACACAATGGCACAGCATCCTCATTAGCCTTCTCTTTGGCAGCAAGTTCTTCCAAAGCCTGGATGGTTTCTATCTGCAGGTAGTCATTGAGCTTGAGGAAGGTCTCACAAGCAGCGGCTATTTCAGCCTCGGGGTATTTTATATTAGACCCTTTCACTGGCCAGGGGACTGTGAAGAGCCTGGTGTTCAGGTACTTGTAGGTACAGCCTGGATTACCAATGAGGATGCGAGATACCGGAGTGAGCAGATCTTTGCCTTGGATCCTAACCAGGTCCCGAAATAAGCAGCCATGCTTGTGCAGTGTGAGAAAGGCTTCTTGAACCTCTTTATGGAGCTCCTCAGATACACTGCTGGCTTCTCGGAGAATTAGTTTAGGATATTTCAGCTGCCACTAAAACAAAACCAAAGCAAAAACAGATGTTGATGTATAGTTACAATTGTATTATTTCCAAAGGTGTGTTTCTTTGTAAGCATCTGGGGAGTTGTTGGGGGACTACCTGGTGGTTATTTCTAAACAGGAGTCACATCTTCCTAGCCCAAAACAGAAAACCAAATAAAACAAATGTCATCAAACTCTACAGTCAAGATTTTCAAGTTCAAGCTCAAATTACTAACAACCTTTAATAAAAAACAAAAAATAATAATGTGGGTCCTGATACACCAGAATTACTCTGTGACCACTTTTTCTCACCCTAAATCTCAACACCATTTTATTAACTGCTTATTATCTAAAATATTTATTAAGCACTTACTACGTACCAGGTACTATTGTAAATTATTTGTGAGCATTAGCTCATTTTAACTCTATGCATAGCATTATTATCTCAAGTTTATAGATGAGACCACTGAAACATAGAGACATTAATTTGACCAAAGACATTAATTTGCCCAAAGTCACACAGCTGGCAAATATTGGAGCTGGAATTTAAAACCCCTGGACACCAACCCCTGGCTTCCAGGGCATGAGTTCTTAACCATGAGTATGCATTGTTTCTCAATAAATGACAAACTGGTTTCTGCTTAACACTTTCACAAAAAGAGAACTCACTTCTCTTCAGGAGTTAGACATTAAGTTCCATGAACACAAAAGTCATGGTAATTTTGCTCATGACTATAATACAAGTGCCCAGAATTTACTCAGTAAATGTTAAAGGAATGAATAAATGGATCTGTGGATGGATGAATGAGGTGTTATTACATTGCAATTCTAGAAAGTTCTAATAATTCTTTTTTTTTTTTTTTTGAAAGTTCTAATAATTCTACTGGTGTCACTGGAGAAGAGTAATATTAGCCAATTCCCTCCCCTAATAAAGAAATACATGGAATGATTAATGTAGATTAGGGCTGCATTAGCTTTTCGGCTACCACTTTCCTTAGGACTTGGCATGTGAATCGGTGTCAGGCTGGAGTTTCCTGATTCTGTATAATGCAACTGATTTATTTGTAACCAAATCACAGGATTTTACATTTACTTCTGTAACGTTTTATCGGATCTGTTCCTTCCTAGTTCTGGGCTGTCTTAAAGAAACAGTCAGACATGATCAACACATTAACCTGTCCTCCCTGTATTGTGCTGCCCACAATTGTTAAGATACCTTCCTTCTCTGTCTTCATTCAGTAATTACCATTCATACGATAGACAGGGCAAGTCCAGTATTCTTCCATACATTTTTTTTTTCATGCAACATCTGTTGCACCTACCACCAGGTGGAAATAAGGTCCCTGCTCTCACAAAGCTTTCTACTAAATCAAGTAAATAAATAAAGAAAAGCAACCCCAAATTGTGTTAAGTACTAAGACAGAAACAAACCAGTAGGAAATCTTATTAGAGCAGGAAGAATTCCCTAAGGAGACGGGATTTAAGCTGAGATCTTCAGGAAAAGAAGGTACCAGAAATATGACAAGTCAGAGAAAATGCTTCCCAGAAAGAGAGACCAAAGAAGCCAAAGGCGCTCAGGAAAAAGACCAATCTATTCTAGGGACCAAAAAAAAGGCTTGTTTTACTAGAGCACAAGAGCCAAAGACAGAGTGACGTGCGATGAGGAGGCAGAGGAAGGCGGAGGCCAGATCACACACAGCCTTAGAGGTCATGGTAAGGAATCTGGAGCTAACTCTAGATGCACTGGAGGATGTAGAAGGGAGAAAAATAACTTGATTTACATCTTATACAAATCACTCTTAGTTATAATATCAGGCATGGATTGGAAAGAGGCACATGTGAGCGTGGAATGTGCTATTACAATCATCTGGGAGAAAAGTGATGATGGTCTGGACTAAAATAGAGGCAGAGATAAGTGGACAGATGAAATACATATGTTGTAGGTAGAACAAAAGGATGTGTTTATGAATTAGATGCAAGGGATAAAAAAAGATAGAAGTCTTTTGGGGTTTTTTGGTTTTTCTCGAGATGGCGTTTCACTCTTGTTGCCCAGGCTTGAGTACAATGGCGCGATCTCGGCTCACTGCAACCTCCGCCTCCCCAGTTCAAGTGATTCTCCTGCCTCAGCCTCCTGAGTAGCTGAGATGACAGGCATGCACCACCACACCCGGCTAATTTTGTATTTTTAGTAGAGACGGGGTTTCTCCCTGTTGCTCAGGATAGAAGTTAAGGATACATTCCAGATTTCTGGATTTAACAACTAAATAAGTAATTTGCCATTTTGTGAAATAAGGAAAACTGAAAAAAAAGAGAAATAGTAGAAGAAAAAGGGGAAATAAAGCGTTCACTCTGGAGCTGCAGTCTTGAAGACACCTATGAAACCTCCAGGTGAAAATATGGGGGGGAATTAGATGTGCACATCTGGAGCTCAGAAGAGAAAGGAGGGCAGAGGAACGCAATGCGGGAGTGATCAGCACACAGCTTGGTTTTAAAGGCCTAGGAATGAATGAGATCACCTAGGGAAACAGTACAAATATCAAAAGGAGACCAAAGCTATTTCTTGAGTCACAGCAGAAGCCTCAACAAAGGAGAACCAGCAGAAAACCAGCAGAGTGTATTAATGCAGAAGCTACAAGAGGAGAGCATTTTTAGAAGGATGGGGTAGTCAATTATGTCACCTGACACTGAGGGGCCCAGTGAGATGACGCCAGATGATCTAGTAGATTTGGCAGCATGGAAATCACTTATGGCAATGACAAGAGCAATCTCAGTAGAGAGCTGGGCGTGGAAGTCAGAATGGAGTAGGCGAAGACGGAATGAAAAAGGAGGAAGTGAAATGGCATGTAGAGATGTCTCTGAATGGTTCTGCTATGAAGGGGAGTAGAAAAATGGAGCTTTTGATAAAGGAGAAGACCAGACTAAGCGACAATCTCTAATGATGGAAGATGCTAGAGAATACTAGAGTTTCTCAGTACACTCACGAGAATGATACAAGAGAAAGAGGCTGATGACACAGAGAGAGTGAATAACCAAAGAAGTGGAGACCTTGAGTGTCTAGAGCAGTAGCCTCCAAGTCAGGTATGTAGGGATTTGTAAGGCAATCTGGTAGAGTGCTGGGGCACACGGGGGAGATAGAACTGCTTTATTTTTAATATAAAATAAAAGAAATCAAGCATTCTTAAAATATGTGTGCATATATATATACACACACACAAATAGGTTTAATATGAATATTATTATAAAACAGACACAAGTACATAAGTACTACTACCAGCACACTACCGGTGGTGTGCTGGAGTCACTCCACACCGGCTCATGAGAGCTCATTGTGTACATCTCTTTCCAATCAGGCATTCAGTAACACCATGATGGTGGCTTGAAACTGTCCACAGTGAGAGTATGTACATTGCGGAAATCAAAAAACACTAAAAATCAAGGCTGGTTCTCTTCCCCTACAGGCCACTTGTTAAACATTTTCTAGGACATCACTATATGTGCTTATCTACTGAAAGCAGTATGTGATCAAAAATATTTGGATAGGAGAGAAGATACTTCTTATATTGCAATAGGCTAGAAGGAGAAAGAAGGTATGAATTCAGATAGGATGATAAATGTAATAATAGTAGGCAGATGAGTAAGTTCTAGGGTTTCTTTTGGAGGGGTGGTGGTTACAGAAAGCTCTGACTTTCTGAGCGAAGTTAAGGTGAATCACTAGCTAAGAATGCATGCTGGTCATTAGAGCTGTTTGCTAAATAGTTCTGGATTCCTCCCCTGCTACCCAGCTTTTTGGGCCCAGTATAAAATTACACTTCCTGGCCCCCTCATGATGGATGAAACATGGGATTACTTCTGTCCAGTGAAAAATGATGGTCATCCTTCCAGCCTGGAACATGTCATTGTCACTGCAAGACCCTCCAGCATACTCTGCACCCCTCTGCCACAGCAACCAGCTGGTGGCTGCTTGGATCTCTGAGCTACTTTAATGGGTAGTGACTCTGTGCCAACCCACAAATGATACATAAAATGGACAAGAAATATCATTGTGTGGAGCCACTGAGATTTGAGAGTCGTCAGTTACTATAGCATAATCCAGCCTGTTCTGAGGCAGAGTGCAGGAGATATTATAGAAGACATGAAGAAAGTGGGAGGAAGTACACGTAAGAAAAATAAATGAGTCAAGTTTGAATGTGAAAAAATGACTTTACTAGGTAAGTGTGGTAGGACTGCCCTGCTTCTCAAAATGCCTATCTGAGGTGTTGACCATGAACTGAAAGTGACAAAGAGAGGAGTCATGTGGCATACCACTATGGACTGTCATTGAGACTATCAGGGATCCATTAAGGATTTGGAGTTTCCATATTTCAGTTATCCCCATTGAAAAACAGAAACAGTGATATCGTACTTTCTATTTACATAGCTTATGAAGAAAGCAATGCAATCCTGTAGGCGGAGACCAAATATTCTGGAGCCATGAGCAGTAACTCTAATTCTATCACTATACTGGTTACTTTCTAAGCAAGTCCCTGAGGCCCCAGTACACTGAAAGCAATGATGAAGAAGTGATGAAGAAGGTAATTTCTTCACACTGTCTTAACACCTCCAGTACTCTCTGAATGGTCTTTAGTATAAAATAATAAAGAAAAGTATGGTAATTCCAAAGAACTCTGTTTCTGAACACACTCCCCTCTGGGACTAAGAAAGGAACACTGAAAATAATGCACTCATATGCACAAACGCCTGCCCTCCCCCCATTGAAATCTTGCTGCCCTTGTTCAACATACACTGGGTACCTCAACACTATATAAGATCTATATAATACAGGGAAATTATAACCCTATGAACCAGGAAAACCATAAAACCAGATAAATATTATCTGTAAATACCTTGACATAAAAAACAGCATAAAAAGAAAATAATGGCATGGGAAAATATTCCATTTTTTTTCCAATTAGATCATGTCCCTTTTCTCTCTGACCATAAGTGCTTCTATTCCTGCAGTCCTCAAGTGTCCA